GTGGAGATACACGTTTGAGGTTTTCCTTGTTTTATTCTAAATTAATTAATACTTTTACTATTATGTACATAATTAATTTTTTTTATTACTTGAATTTTATATATTGCTTTGTTTTATTGGTTGAATTGTGTTTATGTAGACAATAACTAACGATTTATTTCAAAAAATTATTATAGAACTAAATAATTTGTTAATTGGTGTGCAATTATATATACACAAAACTAGGGACGTTAACGCAATAACGCCTTTTTCCGATAAGCAACTAAAACGACGACGATTTTAGTGGTTTCGATTCTCCACTCAGTGACCGACAATGTTATCGTCTTCGATAAGGTTAATCGCATCTGGATTTCACCGGACTCAAACCCTAAAATCGCCGACAAATCCTCCGAGACACGTCACCTCCGTACCCAGATTCTTCAACTCCGAATCGGGTTCTCCTAGAATCGGATCAAATTCAAAATCCTCTGGTTTCAGAATGAGCAGCGTTGAGAAAACCGGGTCGGATTCGGGTCAAATCGAGAATCGGGCGAGCAGGATGAAGGAGAAGCTAGAGAAAGAGCTCGAACCTGTGGAGTTAGTGATCGAAGATGTTTCGTATCAACACGCAGGTCACGCTGGAATGAAAGGTAGAAGAACTGATGAAGAAACACATTTCAATGTGAAGATTGTTTCGAAAGGATTCGAAGGTATGAATCTGGTGAAGAGACACAGGCTTGTGTACGATTTGCTCCGGGAAGAGCTTGATAGTGGATTACACGCGCTTTCGATCGTCTCGAAGACACCATCGGAAATCAATCGTTAGGGAATCTCCGGTATTTGAATACTGTAATTCTCTATGACATCGTTATGCTTATTGAAGTTCTTAATTTGTTGTTGAAACCAACTCTTCTCCATTCAAAGACTGGATTTTTACGCTCTGCTTTAGATTTTATTGCATTTCTGAGTTTATGGGTCTCTTGGAATTGGAACTACGAATCAAAACACTTGAGTGTGTTGATGTTTCTGGATTTTGATTTTGGATGGTAAGTGTTAGAACAAAGGCACTTGCTTTAGATTCAATTCGACTTCTATTTTTCATAGAATTTCAAAACCATTTATAGTATTCATATAGCTTGATGAAGCTGTATGCAAACCAATCACCAATGAAACCATAACGGTGCTTGTATGTGCCATGTGTCACCATTTTAGCAATACTTTTTTGTTTTTGTGGGTAAAGCGAATCGTCATTTGTATTTTTTTGATAGAAACTGAATCGTCCCTCTTCTTTAAGCTTTATACTTGAACATTTATGTTACTGTATCTTTGAAAAGAAACAACAAACAAATTTTCGAAGTATCATCATTTATCACTACAATGGCGAGGAGAGAGGTTAACAGAGATAGGGATGAAGTATGGGTCAAACTCTATTCATCGAACCATCAGCTACTTCTCGTTGGTGAAGGAGATTTTTCGTTCTCTTGTAGCTTAGCCACTCGCTTCGGCTCTGCTTCCAATATATGTGCTTCCTCTCTTGATTCATACGGTAATATATGGTTTGCTTACATTGTGAGTGTTTTTAGTGCTTTGATTTCGTTCGCTCGAGTTTTCTATGGCTAGTCTAAACGGTGAATATGATTTGATTGTTTCAAGTGTTGCATTGTTCTTCTGACCATCACTGTTTAGAGCTATGTTAAAAGGTTGTAGCTTTAAGTTGGATTTCCTCTGTTGTTTCCTGTGGTAACTGAAGCAGATGATGTAGTTAAAAAGTACGAGAAAGCAAGATCAAACCTTCACACTTTGAAGAGACTTGGAGCTTTTCTTTTACATGGAGTTGATGCAACCAAACTGCAAAGAGATCCTGATCTTAATTGCAGAAGATTTGACAGAGTCATCTTCAATTTCCCGCACGCCGGTTTCCACGGCAAAGAGTCTGATCCTTATCTTATACGGTAAGTTCATGTTTTGACTCTGTGTATACCAGCTGCTGCAGCTTTTGGGAATTTGTTTAAAGATTATTAGATGTTCTTTCTCTGTTTGTTGTAGGAAGCATCGGAATCTAGTGTATGGATTTTTCCATTGCGCAAGCCGTATGCTAAGAGCTAACGGAGAAATTCATGTCTCTCACAAGAACAAAGCACCTTTTCGTGACTGGAATCTCAAGGAGCTCGCTAGCAGATGTTCTCTTGTGCTGATTCGATGTGTGGCTTTCAAGAAGAGCGATTATCCTGGTTATGAAAACAAGAGAGGCGATGGGTCCAGGTGTGACCAGCCTTTCATTTTAGGAGATTGCAGTACTTTCAGGTTTCACGTTGCTAAGGAACTTTATACAGAGAAGGTGAAATGGAGAGGAGTAAAGGAACGAGAATCAAAGCATCATCGTGAAGAACATTTCCATAGATGCACTAACCGCTTCAATAGAGTTTCTTTTGAAATCCATAATGGGGAATTAAAGAAACGTTAACACGGACGAGCTTTCCTCATCAGTACACTAAAGAATCTCGAGATGAGTTTGCAGTACAAGCTAGTCAAGAACCATTATTGGACTGCTCTAACCGCTTCAATGGAGTTTCTCATGGAATTTACAAGGGGAAGAAACGAAAAATGTTAATACGGACCAGCTTTGTTCATCCGTACACTGGAGAATCACGAGAACGAAGCATGAGTAAGCGCCAGAGCAACCTCAAAATCTGGTGAAATTTTCCAGGTGAACTTCAAGGAGCTTCTGAGGATATCTTTAATGGAAACAAGGTGACTGAAACTTCGACTCAAGCGTACCATTTCTATGTTCTCTTCTGTATTTTAGGCTGACTACTAACATCTCAAAACGGCGATAAATCTCCATATTGCGATTATATTTTGGAGCGTATAACACTGTTATCTGAACTTGTATTTTGAACATGAAATCGCCTGTTACCACAATGACTCAACGAAATGTTAAGCTCCGGTTTAGGGAGATAGCCTTAGCTTGGAGTCAACAAGGTTTCTTTTTTCATGCTTCAGTCTCTTCTTCTAATTGCCCATTTTAAGCTTCTCTCACTGTCATCATTGACCCAAACGCTAAAAACAAAACGTTTTTCTTCTTCCAAATCATTACTCAGAACTGTTTATGGCCATGGAATGTTCCTTTTTAAGCAACAAAAGATATACAAAGAATCGTCGTTTCGATGTTCGATAAGAAACTAAATCGTCAATCGTCAACAGTAACGTTTACTACATTTTAAACAAAAATAAAAACATAAACTTTCTAAAGGTTGATCCTTTATCACTCCAATGGCGATGAGAGAGCTTATCAGAGACGGTGTCGATGATTGTGATGAAGAAGAAGTATGGGTCACTCACTATTCATCGAACCATCAGATACTTCTCGTTGGCGAAGGAGATTTCTCCTTCTCTCACAGTTTAGCCATTTCCTTCGGCTCTGCTTCAAATATCTGTGCTTCCTCTCTCGATTCATACGGTAACACTCTGTTTCCACACTTTGTTATAGCTTTTTAGGGTTTTGATTTCGTTTTCGCATGAGTTTTCTATGTTGGGGTTTTAAGGTTTTGTTTGTCACTTTCAGAATCGAAATCAATTTCTAGGGTAAACTACTGATTATGGAGTTTCCGGTGAATGCTTGGTTTTTCAAGCTTTTGTATTGTTCTTCTGATCATCTCTCTGTGTATAGCTTATAAACACGTAAAAAGGTTATAGCTTTATGTTTGATTTGCTCTGTTGTTTCATGTCTCATTTGAAGCAGATGATGTGGTTCATTTCAAGCTTCCAGTGATTGATGGTGTTTTCAAGCTTTGCATTGTTCTTATGTTCATTTCTGTTGATAGCTTGTAAAAAGGTTGTAGCTTTACGTTTGATTTGCTCTGTTTGTTTCATGTCTCTTTATGGTAATTTGAAGCAGATGATGTGGTCAGAAAGTACAAGAATGCAAGATCAAACCTTGAAACTTTGAAGAGACTTGGAGCTTCTCTTTTCCATGGAGTTGATGCAACCAAGCTGCATTTCCATCCTTATCTTCATTTCAGAAGATTTGACCGTATCATCTTCAACTTCCCGCACGCCGGTTTCCATAGCATAGAGTCTGATCCCTATCTTATACGGTAAATTGTTTGATCTTTTGGCTTTACAGATACTGTTTTCTTGCAGTTGAGAGAATGTGTTAGACCGGCTTCTTGTAGGAAGCATAGGGAACTGGTGTTTGGGTTTTTCCGTGGTGCAAGCCATATGCTAAGAGCTGATGGACAAGTACATGTCTCTCACAAGAACAAAGAACCTTTTTGCCAGTGGAATCTCGAGGGTCTCGCGAGCAGATGTTTTCTTGTGTTGGTTCAATGTGTGCCGTTCGAGAAGAGCAAGTATCCTGGTTATCAGAATAAGAGAGGAGATGGATCCAGATGTGACAAACCTTTCAAATTAGGAGAGTGCAGTACTTTCAAGTTCAGATTATGCCGTGTCGCTAAGGAGCTGTACGCAGAGAAACTTATATGGAGAGACGAGAAGGAACTAGAATCAAAGTGTCCCCAAACTTTACCAAATAAGCAGCCACTCTCATTTGATCAGTTTCAAGGTGTTAGCCAAAGACCAGTTTTGTTTGATCTCAGTTATCGTCCAGACTATAACCTTAGGCAAGTCCAAGATCCTTTGGTTCAATCAAGACAAATAACATCTCCATTGGATCTTTCTTATTACCAAGAACATAGATGTTCACAGTTCGAAGATGTTTCTGTTCATGCAACCGAAAGACAAGTATCATTTGCTCTTGAAAGATACAAGGCTCCGTATCAAGGCAACTTAATACAGCATGACAAGCTCATGTCCACTGAAAGAAGCAGTTTCCATTTTCAAGCTAGTCATTATCGTCAAGAACAATTCCTTGAACGCTCTAGCTTTGCCAATGGAGTTTCGCATGAAATTTATAACAGAGAACGACATTGGACGAGCTTTCCTCATCTGTATACTGGAGAATCGCCAGAAAGACGCCGCTTGCTTTGTCAAGAATTTCAAGTTCAAGCTCGTCAAGAACCAGTCTTCGAATACTCTAACCGCGTCAATGGAGTTTCTCATGGAATTTATAACAGGGAAGTACGGACCAGCTTTCGTCATCCATACGAGTAGGCAGAGCAACCTCAACATTTGGTAAAATCATTGATATTTGGTTATATTATGAACACAAAAAACTAAGTCAATATGAACATTTTACAGGTGACCGATCTTCAATGGAAACAAAGGTGACTGAAGCTTGGACTCACTAACCAATCTCTAAGAAAACCATTCTATGTTTTGGTTTGTAGGCCAAGTTTAAACCGCGATGATCTTGATATAGAGTTGATCATTTGGTGTAATTTTGTGTATCTATTTAGTTTTTGGAGAATGTGTAGTAAAAATTGTTGCGAGTCTTGCGACTTGCATTGTCTTATGGAGATAGCTCTCTCCAATTTCTCATTACTTTTATAGTCTTTTTAGCAGTCTCTCGTTATATTTCACTCTAAGACACTATCAAGACCAGAAGGTTTGATACCTCGCATTTTATTATTTTACTTAAATTTCGTCGCAATATGATACTTGTTGCTTTTTTTCGTTTTGTCACACTTGTCATTTTCTGTTTAAAAAATGATATTTATCATTTCTTGTAGACTAATAATATAAACTTAAAACTTAGCCGACAAGGCGAAGACAATCACTATCCGAGGGGCAGAAACTCGATTTCAACTTCTAATCAAATCAATAAATTAAATAAGGAATTAAATTATTGAGGAATGAAAGTGTCAAGCAAACTTCAAGGAAATTGATAGTGAATAAGAATAAAAATAATACTAGTAAATTTCAAGGAATTTCAAGGAAATTGGTTCTTTATTTTTGACATCATATCAAGGAATTTGCTTATGACTTATTCTATAGTACACCGCGTAAACGTTACATATATACACTAAAATTATGCATGATTAATTACTAAGAAATACACATTCCATTTAGTTTATCTCTTTCTCCGAATGGATACAAATATTTTAACCTATTTAGTATTCAATTTATGTCGTTGGTCGTTATAGTAGGTTTATGTCAATTGCTACAAGATTGCATTATTTAAAACAGAAAGTTTATTAATGATAGAATAAGATAATCATAATATTCTTTATGTAAAAATTAGGAATGTAGAAATATCTCTCATTCATTGCGTGTTATTATTGTTCTCTATATAATCTACAGAGGATAAACACTCAATCCCATATCTATTTTTACTCAAGCACCCAAAAGCAAATCTTTGGTCTCTCTCAGTAACTCACAATCTACATATCGGAATATTTTCTCCGGCAAAAAAATGAAGGTATGTGTCCCTTCTATGTTTATCTTTTTCTTCGTACGCAAAGCTATAGTTTTCATGCAAAAGACATGAAACATAATTAAGCATTTCTGAACTAAAATTTACATTTGTGTTATCTTTTTTCTTCAGCAACGAATAGTTTTGAAGGTTGATATGAGCGAGAGTGAGAAATCAAGGAAGAAGGCAATGAAAATCGTGTCCGGAACATCAGGTAATTAATTAAACCTAATTCTAATGACTTCCTTCCTTAACAAGTTACTTGCAAACCAAGTTAGGTTATATGTGTGAATCGTTTTCATCAACTTATTTTGCTTGTGTTACGTTTTTTAGGTGTAACATCAGTTACAATTCAAGGACAAAACGATCAGTTGGTTGTTTTAGGAGAAGAAATCGACACGGCGGAGCTAACTCGTGAGCTAAGGAAGAAAGTTGGACCCACGACTATCATCGCCGTTCAGGTCGCACCACCGCCACGGCCACAGCAGCAGCAGCAGTCGCAGACTTATCAATTGGGAGAGCATTACAACGAGATGGCTCCAGCGAGAAGATGCATATGTGAGATTCCGAATTCGGGTTATTGTGGATTTTGTAGATATATGGGTCAAAACAGTTATCCGATGGTGGCTCCGTCGTACCATACTCCGGTGATGTACGGTGGTTACCGTGATGAGCCCGATGGTTGTAGTATCATGTGATGTGACGCTTTGAGTATTTTTTTTCTTTTTTTTGATAACTATGTTTTTGTTAAGTTTC